TTGAGGATAGGTGAACCCGCAATTAATAAATCCACCACTGCGTATATGGACGCTCTTTATTTTACTCGCTAGCGCCTTAGAGACACACGAATGTACGACCCAACGTGGCCGACAGACGATAGACGACTGCTGCCGCTCTCGCGACAAGACGAACCACATAAACAAAAAAAGAATCGGGAGTCCTAGGGACCCTCTCACGCTACCAACAAACAAAACAGCGCGCGATACGAAGGGAAGCGTGCACACACCGCCCGCCTTGAAGGCTGTGCCTTCAATATCAAATCATATTTGCAAGAACAAGATCGATCGCAAGTTGAAAACAAAGTCAAATCATAGTCGCAAGAACAAGATCGATCGCAAACTGAAACAAGGTAACTTATAGTTAAAAACGGAGTCGAGAAACAAAATGAACTTACAGCTAAAACGAGGAGGAATCTTACATGCTACGCGTGATACAAAATAGAATACAATAAACTTAATCTATAGGAAGGATACATAGCTTAGTAACTGGGCGTTTATAAACGCCTTTGGCGGTACGCACTAGTGCTGTTCGCACTGCCTTGTCTTTGCCCGGATACACTTCCTGGATGCGGCCTAAAGCCCAAACCAATGGAGGCAGGTTGTCCTCTTGTATGATCACAAGTTGACCCACGGTGACAGGTGCCTCAACGGTATTCCATTTGTTCCGTTGCTGGCAATTATGTAGGTACTCGTTAGTCCACCGCTTCCAGAAGTGTTGACGCAATTGCTCGATGCGCTGCCTTCTTGTTAACCGATTAACATTAGTTTCGATTAAAGACGGTTCTGGGTACGAGGTAATAGGACAGCCGATTAGGAAGTGTGCGGGCGTGAGAGCCGAAAAATCATTAGGATCCGCTGACAACGGAGTGAGCGGCCTTGAATTGAGGACCGCTTCAACTTGCGCCAACAACGTTAAGAATTCCTCATATCGCACGGATGCCTCACCCATGATACGTTTGATATGAAATTTGGCCGATTTTACGGCAGCCTCCCACAAGCCGCCCATGTGGGGTGCCCTTGGGGGAATGAAGTGCCATTTTATACGTTCGTTGGTCGCAGCGTCCATGATTTTTCGTCTCGAAACGTCCTCATTGAGAATCGCATACAGTTCGCTAAGTTGGCGCTCTGCGCCCACAAAGTTCAAGCCGTTATCGGAATAAATGTCGCTAGGGCGACCGCGTCGAGATATGAAACGCTTAAGTGCATTTAGAAAGGTTTCGGTAGTGAGATCACCAACGAGTTCGATGTGCGTAGCCTTTGTTGCAAAGCACACAAAAATGGCTATAAAACATTTGACTTGCCGAGCATTTTTACGTTGCCCTTCCTTGTAGTACATAGGTCCGGCGTAATCGACGCCGCATTTCTCAAAGGGCCTTTCGAACACACTCACGCGAGACTCCGGCAAGTCTCCCATTAAGGCAGTGGATGACTTCGGCGCATTACGAAAGCAAGTTACGCATTTGCTTATAACGTCACGCACGACGCTACGCCCCGCGCATGGCCACCACATCTGCCGTATCGATGACAACGTCATTTGCGCTCCGGCATGTAATAGTCGCTTATGTTCATGCATTACGATTAGTCGTGTAAAAACATGACGCCCGGGTATTACAATAGGATGCTTCGCATCGAAAGGTAAGTTCGCGTTTTTCAGACGGCCTCCAACCCTCAGAACTCCCTTTTTGTCCACGAATGGATTCAGCCTTAGAATTGAACTCCTCCTACTGACATTACCGCGGTTTGAGATATCCCTGATTTCGTCGTTGAAGAATCTTTCTTGCAAGTTTTTTACCAGCGTTAATTTGGCATTTTCCAATTCTTCGCAAGAAAGTGGCGGCATCGAATTGACCAAACTGTCACTCGAACAATCGCGACTAAATCTCTCTCGCTTATGTTTAACAGCGTTGATAAATCGTAGACAGTATGCAACTATCCGTATAAGTTTCTCATAGCTAGAGTACCTTTCAAACAATCCAAGATCAGATGCAGTAACATGGAAAGAAAACGTCTTGTCGGGTCTTCTTCTGTCGGGAATATCGTTTGGGATATCTATAGCGGAAATAGGCCAATGTGATTCCACACTCTTCAACCATTCAGGCCCATACCACCACATGTTTGAATGTAACAACTCCTCGGGCATGATACCCCTCGATAACGCATCCGCCGGATTCTCCTTGCTTGATATATGACGCCAGTCCTCGATCGACGTTAACGATTGGATTTGACCTACCCGATTTGCGACGAAGGTTGTCCAATTGCGACTGGACCCCCGCAGCCAATGAATTACTATGCTGGAATCAGTCCAATAGTATGTAGTGTCAATTTGAAGATTCAAGCTTTCCCTCAGTTTGGTAACTAATTGAGCGAGTAAGAGAGCCCCGCAAAGTTCTAAACGCGGTATCGACAGGCCCTTGACCGGCGCTACACGAGATTTCGACGCTATTAAACGAACCGTGAATTCATCATTGTTCATTGACGAACGCAAATATACACACGCCCCGTATGCCCGTTGGCTGGCATCTGCGAAACCATGCAGCTCAATGAGTCCGGCCCTATCGACAACAATCTTGCGAGGTATTGCAAGGTTATTCAGGCATTTCAATTGTTTTTCATAATTCTGCCACTTAGTACCGAGTTCCATGGAAATTGACTCATCCCAGTCTACCCTTAGCATCCATAATTCCTGCATAACAAGCTTTCCGATTACAATAGTGGGCCCTAACAATCCCAACGGGTCAAATATCAGAGCGATCCTTGATAGGATATTGCGTTTAGTCAGTCTTGAGGGGGGTCGATATTCAACCACGTTCGTAAAATGAAAGGTGTCTTGTTGACAATTCCAAGATACTCCGAGTGTGCGAGTTCTGTCATGCTCAGACCCCGAAGCTATTTCCTTGTTACCCGAAGAATTCTCATCGTTGCATACTGAAGGGCTATTTGAGAACCATTTTCTCAGCTCAAAGCCACCGCCCTCAAGCAAAGTAGTTACTTGATTCTTTATGTCTAACGCCTCCTCGATAGTAGAAGCACCGGTTAACATGTCGTCGACATAAAAATCTCTCAGAACGATCTGTGAACCTAATGGGTACGAATTTGTTCCGTCCTGCGCCAATTTTTGCAAGGAGCGTATTGCTAAGAAAGACGCCGAAGCGGTTCCGTATGTTACAGTAGCCAGTTCGAAAGTCTGCAACTCATGTTGCGAAGTGTCCCGCCAAAGAATACGCTGAAGACATCGTTGATGGGGATTGATTAAAACCTGTCTGTACATTTTGGCAATGTCAGCAGTCATCGCGAAACTAAAGGTGCGAAAACGAACCAGGATTGAAAATAAATCCTGTTGAATAATAGGCCCAACGAGTAATGCGTCGTTTAATGACCTTCCAGATTCAGTTTTGCATGAAGCATCGAATACCACACGCAGCTTGGTAATAGTGCTCGTGTGTTTGAAGACCGCGTGGTGTGGTAAATAATAGTGAATACGATTGTTGGAATCTGGTGTTTCATGTACCTGATACATGTGACCGAGTTCCTGATACTCGCGCATGAAATCGCGATATTCCTTGTAAACCTCGGGCTGTTTCGATAACCGTTTTTCCAAGGCGAAAAATCGACGTTCAGCAATTTGCTTGGACTCACCTAATTGCGAGAGCACGTCCTCCTTCACAGGAAGTTTGACGATGAACCGACCTTCCTCATTGCGCGAGGTGCTCTGTTGGAAGAGCGTTTCGCATGCGACCTCTTCAGACGAAAACGCGTTGGCGTTGCCGAGAATGTCATTCTCTAATCGCCAGAATCGGGAGATATTCCGATCGAGTTCCTCCATTGTGGTCAAATAACATGAGACGCCTTTGTCCCTTCTCTGTGAGCCAGTGATGTGGCCTGAAAGGACCCAACCAAGTTTTGTTTTCTGGAGAGTGGGGTGACTCCCACTCCCCTTAACTTGACCTATACAAAGGAGTTGCCAAAACACCTCCGCCCCTATCAATAAATCTATGTCACTAGGAACATTAAAGTTCGGATCCGCTAATCGGATATTGGACGGGATTTTTACGTGAGAACGATGAATGAATTCGCGTGGTAATTTTTGCGTTATTCTTGGTAAAACAATACAATTCAATCGTGCTTGAAACGTGTTAAATCGAGACTGTACGTGTATGTCAACTGAGTTTCTCGCTTCGAAGCTACCTTCTGCAATGCCCGAAATCGGCATATTTATGGAATGCTTGTTCAAGTGTAATTTATTTGCGAAATCTTCGGTTACGAAATTTAACTGCGAGCCACTATCCAATAACGCTCGACATGCGTGAGATTTACCCTTTGAATCACGTACGTGAATCACTGCCGTAGACAGCAGTACCTTGGACGGATTTTGTTGCAAACATTGCGTGACCACCGGCGAGGAGGGAGGCTCCTTTACTTCGGTGGACGCCCCTTGAGAAGTGGTCTTCTGCTCGGCATTCGACTCATAGTGCAATAGCGTATTGTGTGCCCCTTGGCATTTGCGACAGGATGACGACGGACAATTCTTTGCCTGATGCTTGCGAGACCTTAAACAATTGATACATAAGTGCGAACCCTTCACGATTTTAAAGCGTTTTTCTACGGGTAATTTTTTGAACGATTCACAATGATACAAAAGATGTTCTCCCTTGCAGTGTTCACAACATAGATTCGCAGTGACCGCGTTCGTCACCGCTCGTTTTGACCTTTGAGATGTGTTATCGGATTTGCTTGTGATCGATTCCAACGCTAAACATCTCTGCAAGAGAAATTCTTTAAGTTCCTTAAGAGTAGGAATTGTAGAGCCCGAACGACTCGTTTCCCATTCCCTTTTTGTTACAATGTCTAATTTAGATTGGATTAAGTGAATAATAAGATCGTCCCATGTATCAACCGGTCTGTCCATTGCCTTAAGGGCGCGCAAATGCTTACCAATTCCGTCGAGCAATGCGCGCATTTGCGTATGATTTTCCTTTGACATGACTGGCAATTCGAATAACGATTTTATGTGACTGTAAACAATATGACGACGGTTGTCGTACCGTTCTACAAGTAGCCCCCATGCTTCACTGTAGTGTTCCGTCGTGATTTCGAATGACTTTAAGAGCTCTGCGGCCGGACCGTGCACCGCGGATTTTAGGTAATGGAATTTCTGGATTGCTGGCAAATCAGGGTTCGCATTAATAAGCTTCTCGAATGTGTCATAAAAGGAGTACCAATCCTCGTATTCTCCTGAAAAGGATGGCAATTCGATTTTAGGTAGGCGAAGCTGAGTCGACACGGGATTGTTACGAGACTGTGTAGAGGAGTTCTGAGGCCTAGCGATCGTCTGTGCTTCGCGACGTTCGATTTCAAGCGAAACCGATTCAAGGCGTGACATGAGATTGAAGTATGGTGTCTCGAAACTAGCACGTTCGTCCGCGTGTAGCTTAGTTAAAACGTCCTCGGTTCGGTCGCCGGGTTTGGCGAGATCCAGCGCTTCAATTCGCGATTGGACCTCAACGTATTGCTCCCATAGCTCAGATAACCTTTTCTTTCTTTCGGATAAATCGAAACGCGACAATTGCGCGGTATCCGCCTGTTCTATAAAATGCCTAATACGCGTGGCCATAGCCTTAATGGCTGTGCGCTTGCCCTTTGCTTCGGTCGCTGAGAGCGTCGCCATTTGTGAAAAACGAACAATAGGCCGATGTATAAACAATCTTCAACGGATGCGCCCGCGAGAACGTTACCGAGAATAATGACGCCGCGCGACGTTAACCCCGTTTACTTGCGATTGAGTACGATGCGAAGAGCGCCTTCGGACGAAGCGATGTCCCAATGCACGGCTGGTGACGTGCGCGATACCACCGTCTCCCCGTCTCGTGTGGCAGGGTTCCTTCTTGTACGGAAGTGATGCGGTGCGCTTGTCTGTCTCTGCTGCGTACTTATGGCCGCCTCGAAGTGCTTCGGTTCTGGCCGCACGCTGTTGCAATGGCCGTGTTGATGCCTCACGTTCCGTGATGTTCGGTCGAGAGCCCACCGGCACCACTCAAGTGCGATATTAGCAACAATGGTTAATTTGCTAATGCCAAGCTGCTTCCAAGCAGCGCGAAGGTGGGAGGCGTGCGTCCGATATCGACTCGCGATAATGGCGGACGAGCCTTTCTTCCAGTCGTCGTCGTGTCCTGTGACTGTTGCCCAGCGAGTGATGATTGCGTGAATCCAGACTCGAGCAGCTGGATCCGGCTCGAAGGACCAAATGTTGAGGATAGGTGAACCCGCAATTAATAAATCCACCACTGCGTATATGGACGCTCTTTATTTTACTCGCTAGCGCCTTAGAGACACACGAATGTACGACCCAACGTGGCCGACAGATGATAGACGACTGCTGCCGCTCTCGCGACAAGACGAACCACATAAACAAAAAAAGAATCGGGAGTCCTAGGGACCCTCTCACGCTACCAACAAACAAAACAGCGCGCGATACGAAGGGAAGCGTGCACACTCTGTGCATAAATTGTTACGAGTAATATTTGTTTTGTTTTCTAATTTTGTTTGAATATTTTCTTTTGTATCTCGCGCCCTTGTACTTTAGTTATTTTCTTTTGAGTTGAAGTGCACTTGTACACTTTTCTTTACGTCGGAGGGCGCTGTAAAACGCGGTTGGTAACGCTGTAGAAGGATGGCTAGAAGACAAGATGTCCGAATTAAGTCGTCCACAATAAAGACGCTCTGATCTGAAATACGAAAAGATTGTGAAGCCCTTTTATTCATTTCCCAGACCTCAAGACAAGTCAGTACCTTTCAAC